TTGGAAGAGCGAGACAGGAATTTCAGAGAGGCGTTAAAAGATGTAGAGAAGATCGAGACAGGAATTTAAGAGAGGCGTTAAAAGATCTAGAGACGTAAAATTTAAAGAAGAATTAGGAACAAAAACGCCTATAAAACATCACTGTGAATTTATTACTACACCTTATAACATCAGTTATTACTTTGAACTTCCACTTAATCTAGTATTAAAACATGTTGGGTTAAAAAAGTACATCATCTTAGTGATAAGCTTATCATAAGTCTAAAACGATGTATTAAAACCCCATTACGCCTCTAAAACATCACAGTAGCTTAATTAACTCACACTCTTTTAACGTCATTTATATTGTCGATTTTTTTTCATAGTAGTATATTATTTTGTATGAATCGTTCAGAAGAACACGAACTTAATTACAGAGTAGCAAATAGTTTGAGTAACATAAAGATATTTGGTACACTGAAACACACTTTTAAACTGTCAGCCAGTATTTGAGGCCTCTCCTGGAGAGGCATAGAAAGCCATCTTGTCTTCCACGAAGTTATTTCATAAAACATATTAGGATTTGACAAAAATCTTCCATGTAAAAATCTATAGCCAGTCTTGCATCAGAAATAGAAAACTATTGTGTGAGTTTTGATGGGATAAGTTTCTGGACTGATGCTGCTTGTTTTACATGTGGTCAAGAAAAGGAATGATTACTGTTTTCTTAAAGTAATCCTCCACGGAACTTTTGCACGTTGGGTTGTCGTTGACTTACTCGTAGTATGCTAACATTAATATTATATTTGTTTGTAATATTACTGCTGTGCTTGAAGATGCGATGTGAATAATCATCTACGTTTACTCTTAGTGAAGTTAGTTCTTTACAGCATTGTTCTATTAGGGAAACACCAGAAATGATGCCTCGGCTTGAACATTGCAAATTTACAGAAGCTTCTTTCAAATGTTAAAGGGAACGTTGTAAAGCTGTTGAATAAAAAATGAATTCAAAGGATTCCAGTATTTTTAGATAAGCCATATAATTTTTTTATCTTCGGCAGCCCACTAGTCATTAAACATTTCAAAATTATCACCTCCATGCATAATAACTTCACATATAATCCAAATACTTATTCCTTTAACTTAGTCGATACAATTTCGTATTGGTGGAACTGAACAGGAATTTTTAATAGCAAGGTTAAGTGAGTGACCCGCGCAATGAGTGTACAAGACCTTGCTTTGCATATCTCCAATTTAATTTTGGACACCAGATCTTTCGCCACCCATGGTGGATGCTCCATCATATCCTTGATCACACAATTCATTTAGAGATAATCCAACATCAGTCAATATCTTTGTAATTGCGCTTACAATATCTGTTGTTCTGACAATCTGTAGCTTAACAAAGCCAATAACTTCTTCGCTAATTTCACAGTTGTCATCTACAAAGGGGAGGCATATTGATAAATGTTTCACATTGTGAGAAGACACTTCATCAGGAAGAATAGAGTAGAATCTAGCTTTTTTTACTTCATCACTAATTTTTACTCGAATTGCGTCATATCCTATGACATTGATGATGTAATTTTGGGGTGAATGAGATAAATATGTAAGATTTTTTGACTTGAGATTATGCAAATGAGTTCTACACATTTCATCATTTCCAGCATAATGTTTCAGCAAGGCCAGAAAATTGCCAGAAATTTTGGAAGAACTTACAACTTCGGTATCGCGACGAAATGTCAAGCCTTATTTTCCTAAAAACAAAATGGAACGAACAATCTGATGAAGAATATATATTTATTCTGAGTTATACGTGATTGAAGGGCACTGTTGGTAATAATATCAATTCTATTGGATGTTTAATGGAAGCCTTCAAAGCATTAGCAGCCAGCATAAAATCACAATGATAAACAAGCTTAGAATGGTTGCTTAAAGTATCACTAATTTTTACCCAGTTGTTAAATAACTTGTTGATAAGTACTACTTTATCATGTCGATTATGCACTGAAAGAAGGGCATCACAGGAACACATTAAAAATGCCATCCAATTTTGTGCTGTATAATAACATGGGTATTTTTCAAGCAAAGCTATTTTAAACTCGTGGTTACACCCATGAGAAAAGGTGGTAGGAAAACCTTTGGTGGTGCCACATGTCTATAAAGATAGGAATACTTTTCGGCAATTGATAGATTACTGATAGCTTGGCATTTTTCATCAAGTGATTTTGTTGGTGTCAATAAATTACCAATGTCAATGCATGACTTAATGACTCAGAAATACCATGATAAACCTCTGATGAATCCATGATTGCTGTAATGCAGTGCAATAATGATTGTGCAAGAAGAACTGAGTTGTCAGTGCTTGAAGCAGTTTGAGGCGCAAGTAAACCAGTTTGAATATAGCCCAATAGTATCAACCTCACAAGCTTCACATTCATCGCTGGCACCAGATAAAGACTGAAATAGTGACTGGGTTGTGTCATTTAGCAGTGTCTGAAAACATTTTATAGCAAGTTTAAAGAGGCGATCAGAATATTGCTTTAACAAAATATTTTAGTTTATATGATACATAAAATCTATAGTAAAATTGTTGCTGTACTTATCTATATATAGACGAATTATAATATTATATATAGGTATTCATGGATTAAACACAGATTTTGTAATTTAAAACACCAGGTATATGCATAACACAACATAAAATGGCTATTCTAATTGCATGTCTGTTTGTTTGTTTTGAAGTTAAGCACAAAGCTATACAATGGGCTATCTGTGTTCTGCCCACCACGGGTATCGAAACCCGCTTTCTAGCGTCGTATGTTGGCAGACATGGCGCTGTGCCACTAAGGAGCCATAGAGGTAAGAGGGCAGAAGTAACAATAGTGGAGTAAGGTTAGTTGGAATTGTGCAATGGTAACAATTATTACTAGAAGTCACAGTGAGGATAATAAAGTGGGTAAGAAGTATTTTTTTATCAATTTTTCAAAGATTTTGGAAATAACCGTTTTTCACGAGATAATACAATAGAAGGAACAGTCTTGTTCTAAAGCAAAATTATAAAGAAATAGAAAAGAAGTGAAAGCGTATTTTATAAGCTTAAAATAATTTATTTTTGATTATATTTGAATGTATTTGATTTATATAATGATAGTATTTTATGCGTTATAGTTCGGAAAATATGTACTGAATTCATATTGTTTATGTTTAGTTGAAAAATTGTATCTGAAAGGTTTTTGAAAATCCTCTATAAAATTACATCCGAAGGAGTGACCTTTGAAGTCACTAAGCCAGTTTAATGTAAACCAAGCTATGTCATAAGTAGTAAGAAAAATAATAAAGAATAGAAAAACAAAGTTTAAGTATTGCGGTGCTATAACACCCATACACACACACACACACACACACACACAC